AACAAAAGGTGCACCACCAAACAAGCAAGTAAATAACTACACTGCAACACTACAAGTAGTTATATAAATTATGTAAATCATAGTTTGATAGCCGGGAGAGGGGACGAGTGAGGACAGGAAGATGTATCGCAAGTCATCCGCTCTAAAAGTGGTTACCAGGCCGTCAGGGTCGATTGTATTGCCCAAAGACTTGCCCATCTTGTGCCCGTCCTGTGAAGATGGGTGGGATGAGCAAGAGGGGGATATAGGATATGAAGAAGTATTGCACCAAGTCTGCACCAAAGGTTGTCACCGGCTCGTCTGGGTCGATCGTGTTGTGCACAGACTTGCCCATGTTGTGGCCATCCTGTGGTGGTGATGTGTGAAAGTGAAAGAGCGGGACAGAGGCCAAGGAGAAGTATCGCTCCGCATCCTAGCCAAAGGTGGTTACCAACTCATAAGGGTCGATTGGGTTGCCCAGCAACTTGCCCATCTTGTGGCCGTCCTGTGGTGGTGATGCGAGGGGAGAGCCTTCTGAGAGTGAGGAGAAGGACTCAACTTGGGGTGTGGATGGCTGGCTGGCATGACTTGCCTTGGTGAGGAGCCCATGGCCAAAGACTTCAGTGCATAAAAAATCCCAAACCTCTGATGAACGCACGATCAGGTTTTCCCCGTCCGCCGAAACTAGTTTACGCAGGGAGGCCTTTTCGAGACTAAGGGATGTTCATATCTACATTTTTGGCACTAGCTTTGCCTTGTTGATCCTGTTGCTTTTGAGAATTCTCAAAAACAGCTTCATCTTCAAGTACTACTGCACTTCGAGTATGAGTCAAAAAGAGTCTTGGTGAGGAACCCATGGCCAAAGGCTGGTGCATAAAGAACCTCAAAAATATAGAGACGCTTCTCAATACTCCTGACTGCTTGTGAGGCGCTTCAAACGGCAGCACTTACCTTGAGTTGTGCTGTGCTAGGCAGCTCTCTCCAAGGTGTGGGTGGGTGGCATGGCAATGCCAGCACTTGCCTTGGTGAGGAAGCCGTGGTGGGGTCTGGCTAGAGACGGTGGTGGGGGTGGGCAGGCCAGGGGACATGGGACGAGCTTTGAGGCGGTCTCTCAAAAGCCTTGAAACTTCGTGGCTAGCCTTTCCTTTCGGTGTGGATGGCATGGCTTGCCTTGGTTAGAAAGTTGTGGCCAAAGACGGTGGTAGGCGTTGGCAGGCCGGCAGACATGAGCATGGCGGGCCAGTAGACTGCGTGGAATTGCAGATTGTCCTGTGAAAGGGGGGTGGGGGATGGAAACGAGAACGGGGGAGAGGGGGAAAGCGGGACAAGGGGAGGGGAACAGGGGTAGAAACAGGCTGGCAGACATGAGCATGGCCGGCCAGTAGACCACGTGGAAGTGCAGAATGTCCTGTGAAGGGGGATTGGATGGAATTGTAAGAAGAGTAAAAGGGATGGGGAGGAAATGAAGGTGAGGAGAGGAACGTGGTTTGGGGCAGGCGGGCAGACATGAGCATAGCTGGCCCGTAGAACGCGTGAAAGCGCAGAATGTCCTGAAGGAGGGGGGGTAGGGGGAGAGGGGGGAGGAGAGGAAGACGAAGAGGGGAAGTGGGAAGAATGGGAGCGGAAAATAAGGAGGTGAAATTGGCTTCTAATGGGCAAGCAGACATGTCAAACGCCGCATGAGTACACTGCAAAAGTAGAGGGTACACTGCATGCATTCCCTCTACAACAAGGGCAATCCCTCTATTACACGTGTACCCATATCGACCCTTGCAAAATACATGCTCACACGTTGCCCCTCAACCACAACCCACCCACACCCCACCTTGCCTATGATGTGCACAGAGGCAGGCCACCCCCTGGAGACTGTCGTGTTCAGGCTTGGCTCATCGCCCTCCTCCAGCAGCGCTGAGATGTACCTGTGTCGTGTAGGGAGGTGGTGGGGGAGAGGTGTATGCGGTGTTGGGATTCACCTTGGCTCATAACCCTCCTCCGTTGGGGCACACATTTTGCATCCAACGGCTCTGGGACGTCCGGCACAGGAATGCCCCATGCCACTGCCACTTAGCTTATGCTAAATTCCCTTGCTCCCTCCGCCACCCATGCCAGTACCGGTTGGGCTGAGAGGAGAAAGAAGAAGATTGAACATCTAAACACAAGGAAATAATGTGAGACTCAAGTGTGGATAGTAACAGAGCTTGAAAATTACATACACAAAGGATGGAGAGCAAGGAGAAGAGGCTGTTTGATCACAGGTGTCGCCCAACTTGTCCCACCATGTGTGCTTGATCACCACATTTATCCTTCTGCCCTCTCACCTCGTTCTTCCTAAATCTGGGCTGCACAAAATCGGGAGTGTCCTGAAACAATTGATCCATGACGGGCTGGTGTGAGGAGACTGCAAAGAAAAGGATGCTTGTTCACGCCAGGCCACTCTTGAATAAGTCCCTCTCACCTCATTCTGTCTAAATCTGGGCTGCATAAAGGCAGGCCGGTCCTGAAACAGCTGCTCCATGTCATGTTGGTGCGAGGAGAGAGCAAAGAAGAGGTTGTGTATTCACTAGTTCAACTCCTTTCTTCTTCCCACCAACTTTTGCTTGCCAGCCCCTCTCCCCTCTTCTTTTTCCTTCCCAATAACCTCCAACTCACCTAGTTGATCCTCTCTCATTCAGTCAGCAAAAAAATAGGCCCCTCACCTAGTTGCTCCTCTCTCACCTCGTTCTTTCTGAAGCTCGTCTGGGCGAAAGCATGTCTGTTGTGAAACAGCTGCTTCAGGGCATGCTGGTGTGAGGAGAGCACTTTTGAGGCGCCTCAAAAGGCATGCCGGTGTGAGGAGAGAAATTTTGAAGCGCTTCAGAAGGCATGCTGGTATGAGGAGAGCACAAAGGGGAGACTGCTCGTTCACACCAAGTCACTCACTGTTAGAATCTAGCAGCAGGAAAATGAATCAACTATGAAAGAGTTGGGTACATGTATGAAACCCTAAAAGGGGCTGTACCCCATATTGGCTACCCCACTACAGCCTACACATATATAACATGCATATACTTCGACACACCCCCATAGGCAAAGTCGCGGAGAGCAAGGGGTCACAAGACCAGTCAAGCAAAGCAACGCAAGCTCAGGGTGGATCACAACGTCACCACACACACTGAGCACAAGCAAAGGGCCACAAGGCCAGTTCACATGTAGAGGTATATATGCAACAACAGCACTACAGTGATCTCTACCTAGCAGAACAAGCATGCAGGTATATATATTGATCACAGTACAAGCAAAGTCTACAGCAAGTGAGGAAAAGTGGGCACAAGGCCCAACAAAGTGCAGAAACGCTGATGATCACCAGACAAAAGTGAATATATCAGCAGTGTTGGCCCGAGTGGCCATGTGAGCAAGACGAAGATGACCACGCTGGTGCAACTCTTGAGGCAGGAAGTAACGCAGAGAGATGTACTTCGTTTTGTGCTCCAGCCTGTACTCCTGTGACAAGGCAATGGCGGCCTTGTTGTCGGCGTACAGCACTGGAGGGGAACGAGGCCGCTCACCCAAGTCAGTGAGTAGGTAGGTGAGCCAGCATAACTCCTGTGCAGCCATGGCGGTGGCTTAGATCTCAGCCTCACAACTGGAGCTGAGAACAGAAGACGAGCATGTAGAACGCCAAGAATCTGAACCAGAGCCAAGGCTGATGGTGTAACCCTGTGACGACCGCTGTGTAGCCTGGTCGTCAACCCAAGAAGCGTCTGAGTGCCCAGTGAGGACAACTGCGCTCCGCCCTCCAAGCACGAGCCCCATGCTTGATGTACTGCACAAGTAGCGCAGTACCCTTTTCACAGCATTCATGTGCACCTTTCGGTGCCGACCAGGAGCCACGTAGCAAGCTAGAAGGCCAAGAGGGTACGCAAGGTCAGGTCGAGTGCAGGTCACCAGGTACATGAGGCAGCCCACTAGCACTGGGAACGGGCCAGTCGGCTCTACGGACTCGTCCAAAGGTGGAGCTGAGAGCGAGTGGCCTGTAGCCAGAGGAGTGTGCTGTGGCAAGGACCAGGTGAAGCCGAAGCGCTGAAGGACCTGCTGCACCATGTGTGACTGAGTCACTATGATGGTGCGGCGTGCTCTGTCCCGGGTGATCTGCAAGCCAAGGTAGCTGCACAATTCACCCAGGTCTGTCCATGTGTGTCTCTTCTGCAGCTCCGACTTCACCACGGCGAGAGCCTCAGTGTCATCACTGGCAAAAACCAAGTCGTCGACGTACACGAGGATGTAGAACGGCGGCAGCGACGTGTCGGTGCGCAGAAACAGCGACGGGTCAGCAGTCGACGGAGCAAGCCCAAGAGCCGCAAGTGTAGTCCTCAACGTGTCGTGCCACTCACGTGGTAGCTGGCGAAGACCGTAGACCGGCCGCCGGAGGCTCCACTAGGTACCAGGTGGGAACGACCCAGTGAGGCCAGGAGGGCGGCACAGCCAGATCTCCTCGTGCAGGCTGCCCTGTGAGAAAGCTGGGCTGAAGTCAAGAGAGTGAAGCTCGTAGTCACGCTGAGCGGCAAAGTGCAGCAGCACTCAAAGAGTGGTCATCTTTGGGGTGGGGGAGAAGGTCTGGAAGAAGTCAACTCCCTCTCGCTGACTGAAGCCTCGAGCAACGTAACGAACCTTGAAGACAGGCGGAGAACCTGGCGGACGCTTTGTCAGTAGATCTGCACTGTGGATGCCCGATTGATCCTGGAGAGGGTTACAGGCGCGTTTGCCTGGGGGGTTATGGGCGCACTGACCCGCTACTAAAACAAGCCCTTTTATCCCAGTGGTCTAGTGACTGGGATTCTGACATGGTATCAGAGCGGTCTCGGGTTCGATTCCCGGTGTATGCACATGTAGGCCGGTGCCGCTGTGCTTAGTCCTGGGCCTCCCAGTGTGGGGGGGTGTCAGTAGATCTGCACTGTGGATGCCCGATTGATCCTGGAGAGGGTTACAGGCGCGTTTGCCTGGGGGGTTATGGGCGCACTGACCCGCTACTAAAACAAGCCCTTTTATCCCAGTGGTCTAGTGACTGGGATTCTGACACGCTTCACCCTGAAAATCCACATGCCACTGACGATGTTCGCCCCAGGAGGGGAAACCTCGTCGACGTAAGTGCCTGTGGACTTCCAGGATGCCATCTCTGCGTCCATGGCTGTTTGCCTCTGAGAGGAGTACTCATCCGCGATCGCCTCCGCGTAAGAGCGCGGGGTTGGTGTGTCTGGTGCATCCGGGTCTCCCTCAGGGACAAGCAGCATGGACACGAGATGAGGCGCAGCGGCTGCAAGACACTCAAGGTCCTCCTGCCTGTCCTCAAGGACGTCTGTGCCAAGAGCACACTCACCTCCGATGGACAGAGGACAGACAGACTCAGACTGAGCTACAAGACTAGCGACGTAGTCGAGACGACATGCAGCAGCAAAGTCAATAAGCTCAGTGACTAAGGCAGACGCAGCAGCAGACTCAAACGACGGGTCAGTGACAACTGTGGCTAGCAGACGCGTGACAATAGGGTGAGGAGCACGGGTGCGGTCAGACTCAGGCTCAGGAACCGTAGGCAGAGAAGATGTAGGAGGGGACGGCAGGGGAACATGCTGCGGAGGAGAGGAAGGACGACAAAGTAAGAGGTGGGTGTCGGTGACAGCCGGCTGACGCGAACGAGGAACACGACGACCAGAACGACCAGAATGGACAGGCGAGACAGGACGCGACGCAGGCGCATGACGCTCAGTAAAACCCCCTGTCTCCTCAGTCTATGGAGAAGGAGCAGGTAGCGGTGAGCCAGGCTGTATCGGAAGACCAGTAGACGAAGGGAGAATAAGAACCTGGCGATGCGCAGAGTCAGACGGTGGCTGAGACGACGGAGACGGTGAAGCAAGGAACAAGCGCGGCTGTGCTGTGCCACCAGCACCAGCAGCTCCAGCACCTCCACCAGCTCCAGCACCACCAGCAGCTCCAGAACCCTCAGCGCTAGCTCCTACAGAACCAGCTCCACCAGCAGCAGCACCCCCAGAACCGGCACCTCCAGTCCTAGGGTCTCCAGCCTCAGTGTCTCCAGTAGCAGCACCCCCAGACCCAGAGTCTCCAGCAGTAGCACCATCAGGCTCAGGACCTCCAGCCCCAGCAGCTCCAGTACCTCCAGTAAGAGCACCTCCGGGACCAGGACCACTCCCAACTCCAGTGACGCCGGCAGATGTACCTCCAGCGGCAGAGCCCCTAGCTCCAAAAGCGCAACCCCGACGGCAACCGTACCATTCATGCAGCTGCTGTGAGGTGAGAGGCACACGCGGACAGAGGCGGCTACTCCAAGGAGACCGCGCAACAGCAGAATCAGAACCCTCAGCGCCAGCACCCACAGCAGCTCCAGAACCTCCAGCGCCAGCACCCGCAGTAGCTCCAGAACCTCCAACGCCAGCACCCTCAGCAGCTCCAAAACCTCCAGCAGAAACAACTCCAGTAGCAGAGTCACCAGCTCCAGCGCCTCCCGTAGCAGGGCCCCTAGCTCCAGCAGCGCAACCCTGACATCTAACGTACCACTCACGCAGCTGCTGTGGGGAGAGAGGGAGTTGACAACGAGAGTGCAGCGGCGAGGTACCAGCGGAGCGACTACGGAGACGGCCGCCCCAGGGAGAATGCTCACCAGACCCCTCAGCGCCCCCAGGTGCAGCACCCCCAGATTCAGTACCCCAAGGCTAAGCACCCCCAAACTCCTCACGCCCAGGCTCAGCACGTCCAGTCTCCGCACCCCCAGGCTCAGCACCCCCAGGCTCCACACCCCCAGGCTCAGCACCCCCAGGCTCCGCACCCCCAGGCTCAGCACCCCCAAGCTCCGCACCCCCAGGCTCAGCACGAAGAAGGCTGCCAAGAGGTCAGAGGAAAACTCCCCGTCTCTGTCAGAGTGCAGACGCAGGACGGGAAACTCCGTCCCGAACCGCTCACGGAGCTTGAGACGAGCAGCGCGGATCCAAGGGATCAAAACATCAAGGACCTCACCCTTGGTGCGCAAGGGGAAGACCATGGTGTAACGCGTGTAGTCGTCGACGACCAGCAGGAAGTACCGCTCGTGACCCTGTCCAAGGACGCAGGCTGGACCCCACACGTCCAGGTGGAGAGTCTGCAGGGAAGCCTCTATGGGAGGGAACGAGGAGGAGTGAGGAGCGGTGTGCTGCCGCCCCTCAATACAAGAAAGACAGGGAGGAGCAGGCAAGGGTGGGAGGGGAGGGAGAACCCTGGGAAGACCAGAGACAAAGACACGGCGGTGCATGCTGCGAAGGCGCTGCACTGAGGGATGACCAAGGCGGTGGTGCCAAAGGAGGGTCTGGTGCGACAAGGCGCAACACGAGCAGGGGGCCGACAACTGACTTGACGCAGACGCAGATGCAGCTACCTGAGGGGACTCAGTGGTCAGTGTGTACAGGCCCGACCCCGGCTGCTGAGTGAAGGTAGCCAGGTAACGACCCGTCTGAGCACACGTGCAGTGTGTCACACGCTCGTAGGCAGGGGTGAACTGGTGAACACCCGTGTCATGGAGCGCAGAACCTGCTACCAAGTTCGTACAGACCAAGGGGAGGTAAAGACACGACAGTGTGCCGGATGGGATAGCACTACTGTTGTGTGATGCAATCATATGCATTCACGTCTATCTGCCTCCCATCATGTGTTCGTGCGTTGCATGCGTGGTGTGAGCGTATGCAAGAATTTGTGTTTTGTGCGGTTTGGTTTTTGTGAGTATGTGTGAATGTTATTTGGCTTGAGCAGATATCTGAAGTGACTCCTCTGCTCAAGAGCTTTCCGACGAACCAAGTATCGCTTCAATCGGAGCACGAACCAGAAAGTTACGAACGTTGGAAGTTCGTATGCTTTTGATATTTGGTTGTGGTGACTATGGGTAGTTGTGGTGTTGACTCCATAACGGGTATAGACTTTTGGGGGTTGGGAAATTCGTCAACATTACTGTAGATGCTGCCAAGCGGTTAGGAGGTGCCAAACTAGGTTGGCAAGTGTGGCCATGTTGAGCATGGTGGATGTCATGGGTTGGAAAGTGACAAAAGTAAAAGTGGGGTTCCTATAGGGAAGGGATTTGGTGTGCTTATGGGGTTTCCTTGGTTGGGGACTCCTTAGGGACCTTCCCTCTCATCCTCCTCGTCCCCTCCTACCTGGTTTCTAGCAACTCTAACTCTCTTGTGTGGTCAATTGTGTAACTTGTGAGAACATTATTATTGAGTTAAATTCTTATGGCAGCATACCCCCCTGTGCGCCGAAATCGATAAGTCAAGAAATACTTCACTTTATTGTACGATTCAAATTGGGAATTGTAGCCACAGACTAGGGCTATAGCATATCTGAATTTGGTGAAGTTTTGAGGTGAACGCTTTGTCGACGGCGTTTCTTATGAACTCGACGTTTCTGTCCAGAATTCTAAGCCAACGATTTTGAGAAATTTAGGCACCTATTCTTCGTAGACCTCGTCCTTAGTCTATAACAAGTCGTATCAGAGCAGATTGAGGACCTTGTGGGGAGTCTACCCAAGTGTGAAGACCTTCCTAGACCCACCATGGCCTGTGGGCGTGCCTAAGTGGAGTTCTGGAGGCTGGATGTGACTTCCGCAAAGGGGAAACTCTGGCGAAATTTCATTGGTGCCGACACTTGTGAAAATTGTGTGGATCCACATTGTGACCAGCAAAAGGGGGAGCTGAAACCTCTGATTGCGAGTAGAGGAGATGAGTCAAGGGAGTGGAGACGCAGGTGAGAAGAAGAGTGAGCCGCCGCCATCCAAGATTGAGGCTTTGGATGGCTCCAACTATGAGGAATGGAGCGGGCGGTTGCGGAGCGCCTTCAAGTGCTACATGCTGCTGAAAATTGCAATGGGAGAGGAGAAGATGTCGGGGGAAAGAGATGCCCGCGATCGGTGGATTGAGAAAAGGAGAAAAGCGCGATTACGACCTCATCCTCCAATCGGTCAACAACGACATGTTCTAGCACATCAAGGATTTGGTGGAGTTGGATGATTCCGGACCGAAGGCATGGAAGCTACTGCGCGACGTGATTAAGCCCAACAAGCTGCCCATGATGATCATGCTCGAGAAGTAGCTAGCGGCCATCTCCATGCGATCGGGAGATGGTGTGAAGCCGGTCCTTGACAAGATCAAGGACATATATGCAAGGATGGCAGGGGCGGGCAGCAAGGTGTCGCATATGCAGCAATGCACTAAGATCATCTCGGTGCTCGACAACTCGTCAAATAACCTCATCCCCACCCTCAACGTTCAGCAGGACATGTGGACGCCTGAGTGGCTACGGCAGCAGATCCTGCACGAGGACTTCCGCAGGAGCCACACTGGAGGTGGTGCTGCCAACAAAACTGCTGAGGGGTATGGAGCTACACGATGCAGTAGAGGAAGAGGGGGAGGGAGAGGCTGAGGCCGTGGGAGAGGCTTTGGCAAAGGGAGAGGCCGAGGTGACTACAACGAGGGGCATGGGAGCTCTAGTGGCAGGGGGAGCACCCGAATGGAGGGTGCGTGCTGGTACTGCAAGAAGGCTGGACACCCATGGTTCAAGTGTTTCAGCCGGCCTGAAGGATGGGCGCCTCCTGGCATGAAGCCACCAAATGGTGAACGTGCGCGAGGTGGCGCTGTGCAAGGTTCAGGTGCACAAGGTGATGGTGCACAAGGTAAAACCGACCCTAGGATGTTCCTCATGGTTGAGGATGTGAAAGAAATTGAGGGTGATGTGGGTTCGGTCGGGAAGGTTGTGATGCACCCCCTCACTCACTCACTGGGTGATCGATTCAGGTTGCACAAGCCACATGACCCCACGGGCAGATTTGCTTGACGAGGTAGAACCCCCTGGGAAGATCAAGTTTGTGGCCGCCGCTTTAGGTGCTTTGCTCCTTGTGATTAGTGTGGTGAATGCCAAGGTAAAGGGAGCCAATGGGGTGCTTGTGGGGCTGGGGAATGTGCTGTTGGTTGAATGTTTGTCTGCTAACCTTCTTTCTGTGCACCGGCTGCAGAAAAGCAAGGCCAAAGTTACATTCGGACCAACCAGCTGCCGTGCAAAGCTTGGGAAGCTGTTGTTGTGGGATCTGGAGGAGAAGAACAGCTGCATCAAGGACCTGTGGCAGCTGCCCATCATCCCTTGGAATGGGAAACCTCCAGCAATAGCAGCGGCAGCAGCAACGGCGAAGGCAATTACAGTGGGAGAGGAGACTGCACCAACTACTGGGGCCCTGGATGCAGTCAAGAAGGTGCAGCAGCCACAGCAGCCACATGGTGAGGTGCTTGCTGGTGTGGATGCAACTGCGGCATGGGCAAAGGCTTCATCCAGGAGTGGTGAGGCCGATTGGGAGACGTGGCACGAGAGGCTGTGTCACATCAACATTCCTATGCTATAAAAGCTGGTGAAGGATGGGAGTTTGAAGGGGCTGGAGGTGAAGGGGGCAGCGAAGGAGATTGGGAGCTGCGCTATATGCCTTGAGACAAAATTCACAAAGTTTCCCTTCAGCAGCAGCACAGGACCAGCCAAGGCTCCACTTGCGCTTGTGCACATGGATGTGGTGGGCCCCACGAGGGCCCTTTCTCTTGCGGGCAGCTGCTACTTTTTGACCATTGTGGATGACCACACGCGTGCGGTGTGGGTCTACCCTCTCAAGAGCAAGGGGGAGGTGGCAGCCGCTGTTCTTAAGGAGTGGATGCCGAGAGCTCAAAGGGAGAGCGGACACAAGGTGAAGGTGATCCGCACACACAATGGGGGAGAGTTCATTGGTGCTGATTTTGAGGCGGTGCTGAAGAAGGGGATCCAACATCAGCTCACAGTGCCCTACAACCCTCAGCAGAACGGCGTGGCTGAGCGGTTCAACCGGACCCTGCAGGAAGGTGCTCGCACTCTCCTTGGGCGTGCAAGGCTGCCAGATCCGTTTTGGGTGACTGCACTGCGGCAGGTCGCCCTTGTGAAGAACAGGGTGCTGGCGACCGTGGGGGACAAGCAGTGGGTCCCCTACACCAAGTGGTATGGGAGTGCACCAGCTGTGAACATGCTGAGAGCCTTTGGGTGCATGGTGGTGTTTCATGTGCCTAAGGAGAAGAGGGGAAAACTGGAAGCTTCTGGGAGATGGGGTGTGCACTTGGGGCTTGCTAAGGATCATAAGGGCTGGCTGATTTGGGACTTGACCAGCCAGCAGTTGACTGTGTCCAGGGATGTGAAGTTCCTTGAGTCCTTGTACTACAAGGAGTGGAAGCAGCAGCACCAAAAGCTTCCTACTACACCGCGGATCATTGAGGCTGATGAGGTGCAGCGGCCTTCGAGGTAAGTGCAGGTCACTGTCTCAGAAGAGGAGATTTCTGGGGTGACTGAGCATGGGGGAGAACCTGAAGTGGAGGAGCAGCAGCAGCAGCAGCAGCAAGGTGCTCCACAAGGTGCCGCACGTCTGGCAGATCGTCCTAGGAGGGATGTGCGCCCTCCTAACCGGCTGACCTATCCGAGCTTTGGCAAGCCAAAGGTGGTACGGGCTGGGAGTGTGGCTGAGCAGTGTGATGAGGATAAGATAGCACACTGCTACTGGGCAGCCGTCCCTGAGCCCAAGACACTAGCCGAGGCATTGAGCGGGCCAGATGTTGAGAAGTGGAAGCAGAGTGTGAAGGAGGAGTACGACTCTCTGCTGAAGAATGAGACTTGGGAGTTGTGAGAGCTGCCTCCTGGGAAGAAGGCCATTTCTTCCAAACTGATTTTCAGGCAGAAGTACGGACCTGATGGGGCGCTGACCCGCTACAAGTCAAGGCTTGTGGCTAAGGGGTTTCAGCAGACAAAGGGAAAGGACTTCAAGGAGCTCTATGCTCCTGGCAGTGAGCTGGCGCAGCAAGAAGCAGAATGAGGTGGGGCAGTCCTCGTGTGAGACAGAGTACATGGCCCTACATCACGGGGCAAAGGAGGTGGTATGGCTGAGGCGTTTGTTGGAGGAGATTGGAGTTGGTCAGGGGGAGCTGACTGTGATGTTCTGTGACAACGAGTCGGCTGTGAAGCTTGCAAAGAACGCTTGCCTTCATGGGCTGACGAAGCACATCAGACATAAGTGGCACTGCGTGAGGAGGCCTCTGGACAAGGAGGTGCGGCTGGACATTGTGAAGACCCATCAGCAGGCGGCTGACATTCTCACCAAGCGCCTGGCTGAATCTAAGCATTGGAAGGGCATGAAGCTTGCTGGGATGAGTGTGCATTGAGGGTGCATGCTTGAGCTAGGACATGTGGGATGATGATTGGCAGCCATTGGGGGAGTTTGTTGTGTGATGCAATCATATGCATTCACGTCTGTCTGCCTCCCATCATGTGTTCGTGCGTTGCATGCGTGGTTTGAGCGTATGCAAGAATTTGTGTTTTGTGTGGTTTGGTTTTTCTGAGTGTGTGTGAATGTTATTTGGCTTGAGCAGACATCTGAATTGACTCCTCTGCTCAAGAGCTTTTCGACGAACCAAGTATCGCTTCAATCGGACCACGAACAAGAAAGTTACGAACGTTGGAAGTTCGTATGCTTTTGATATTTGGTTGTGGTGACTATGGGAAGTTGTGGTGTTGACTCCATAACGGGTATAGACTTTTGGGGGTTGGAAAATTCGTCAACATCACTGTAGATGCTGCCAAGTGGTTGGGAGGTGCCAAACCAGGTTGGCAAGTGTGGCCAAGTTGGGCAAGGTAGATGGCATGGGTTGGAAAGTGACAAAAGTAAAAGTGGGGTTCCTATAGGGAAGGGATTTGGTGTGCTTATGGGGTTTCCTTGGTTGGGGACTCCTTAGGGACCTTCCCTCTCATCCTCCTCATCCCCTCCTACCTGATTTCTAGCAACTCTAACTCTCTTGTGTGGTCAATTGTGTAACTTGTGAGAACATTATTATTGAGTTAAGTTCTTATGGCAGCATACCCCCCTGTGCGCCAAAATTGATAAGTCAATAAATACTTCACCTTATCATACGAGTTGGAAATTGCCACGGACTAGAACTACAACATATCTGAGTTTGGTGAAGTTTTGAGGTGAACGTTTTGTCGACGGCGTTTCTTGTGAACTCGACGTTTCTGTCCAGAATTCTAAGCCAACGATTTTGAGGAATTTAGGCACCTAATCTTCGTAGACCTCGTCCTTAGTCCATAACAAAGACAAGGGAGGACAGTGGTGGAGGTCGCCCGGACTGGACCCCCAGAGGGGTCTGCCAGGGAGACTGCAACCGGCCGACTGAGCGGTGCGAGGGTGGTGCTGTCGCGAAAGAAGGAGCGAGAAGCACCGGAGTCAAGTGTGAAGGTGTACAAAGCCTCAGCAGGCGCAGTATCAAAGAGAGTAGGACAAGCTCAGCAAATAAGGCAGACGCAGTAGTGGACTCAAAGGAAGGGTCAGTGACAACAGTAGCCAGGAGGCGCGTGACAGTAGGACTAGCAGCACGAAGGGAGTCAGACTCCGGGTAAGCAAGCGCAGGAAGAGAGGACTCTCGAGGAGACGGCAAAGGGACATGTAGTGGAGCAGTGGAAGGACGCAGTGCCATCTGGTGCGTGCCTGGGACCACAGGAGGACGCTGACGCGGAACACGACGACCAGTAAGACCTCAGGCGAGCAGCACAAACAGGCGACGCAGGACGAGACTCAGGCTCACGACGCTCAACAAGACCTCCAGTAGGACCAGTGTAGGGAGAAGGAGCAGGCAGTGGGGAGGCCAGCTGTAACTGTGACTCGGACTGGACAGGCGGTGGACACTCTAAGGAAGGAGCTCAGTAGAAGGCGGGAGACGAAGAACCTGCTCAAGGAGTGGAACGAAGTACGGCCACGGCCGCGCAGTGCCTCCAGAACCAACAGGGACAGCACCAGCACCCCCAGCATCAGCACCAACGCCAGCAGCACCCCCAGCTCCAACAGCACCCCCAGTAGCTCCAGCAACGCCAACTCCAGCACCCTCAGAAGCACTAGCTCCAGCAGCACCTGCGCTAGGAGCACCTCCAGCTCCAGCACCTGTAGCACCACCACGCCCAGCAGCTCCAGTACCGCCAGTACGAGCACCTCCGGGACCTGTGGCTCCAGAACCTCCTGCATCCGCAGAACCTCCAGCACCAGTAGCACCACCAGCTCCAGCAGCATGGCTCCAGCGTCGAGCAAACCACTCACGCAGCTCTTGGGGAGAGGGTAGCTCCAGCGGGGACGAAGCATCCGAAGGACCTCCAGGCCCAGCGCCCCCAGGCTCCGCACCCCCTGTCTCAGCAACCCCAGGCTCAGCAACCCCAGACTCAGCAACCCTAGTCTCAGCAACCCCCAGTCCCACCACCCCTAGGCTCGGAACGCTCAGGCCCAGCACCCCCAGACCCGGCACCCGCAGGCTCAGCACCCCTAGCAGCACCAGAGTTAACAGCTACCTCGACAAGCTCGACAACGTCTACTTGGGACACACCTGAGGGGGCTGGACCCTGAGGGAGGAGAGGGTCTACTGGGGGGGGGGGCCTGGCGCGAGGAAGAGTGGCGGGGGGGGGGGGGGGGGGGGGGGGAGGGGGGCAGCGCGGTAGGGGAAGAGAATGACCAAGCCAATGCGGCGCTCAGCAATCCTATTTTGTGTGGAGAGGCCGGAAGCGTGAACATCTGGCAGATGCCCCACGCACGACAGAAGGCTCGCAGAAGGTCGGAGGAAATCTCTCCACCTCTATCGGAGTGCAGACGCAGAACAGGGAAGTCCAAGCTGAAACTCTCTCTGAGCTAGAGACGGGCAGGGCAGATCCAGTCGATCAACACGTCAGTGATCTCACCCTTGCGGCGCAAGGGGAAGACTGTGGTGTAACGTGAGTAGTCGTCAACCACCAGCAGGAAGTAACGCTCGTGACCCTGTCCACGGAAGCCGGCTGGGCCCCACACGTCCATGTGAAGAGTCCGCAGCGGAGTGTCTGTCGGAGGAAACTCGGAGGAGTGAGGAGTGGCGCGCTGCCGCCCCTCGACGCAGGGGACGCAGGTAGGGGCAGGCCCCGGGGGAAGGGGAGGGAGGGACTGGGGGAGACCAGAGACAAGGACACGTGAGGCCATCCTTCGGAGACGAGGCAGGGAGGGGTGACCAAGGTGGTGGTGCTAGAGGAGGGTCTGGTGGGACAGGAGGCGACACTAGCAGGGGGCAGACTCAGGACCAGACCGAGACACTGCAGCAAACACTTGACCCGACGCAGCTACCTGACCAGACGCAGCAACCGGAGGAGACTCGATAGTCAGTGTGTACAGGCTCGACCCCGACTGACGAGTAAATGTGGCCAAGTGTTGGCCCATCCAAGCACACGTGCAGTGGGTCACCAGCTGACTCGCAGGAGTGAACTGGTCAACCCCCCCATCTAGCAGGTCAGCACCACTCACCAAGTTCGTAGAGAACGAGGGGAGGTAAAGACCTGACAGGGAGCCACACGGGGCAACTGGACACGGTAGCACAGTGGAGTAGTGGGCGAGGACAGGACCCCCCGAGGGGTCTGCCAGGGAGACCGCAACCGGCCCACCGAGCGGCGTGAGGGTGGTGCGGTCTTGAAAGAAAGAGCGGGAAGCACTCGAGTCAAGGGTGAAGGTGTGGAAAGCCTGAGCAGACGTGGTACCTGAGATAGCAGACTCACAAGCACCCGGAGCAACAGACTCACTAGCATATGGAGCAGCAGACTCACGAGCACCTAGGGCAGCAGCCGCAATGCCCAGGTCAGGCGGAACACACAGGTAACAGTCACCCTCATCACTAGTAGACACAACATACATGGCAGCAAGAATAGCATCAGAATCAAGATCAAAGATAGCAACCCCCGACCAAAGAAGATCACCCCAGCGAGGGATCTCAGTGGCGTCAGGGAATTGGAGACGCCATGCGTCTATCAGGCGGCCGAAGCAGCGCTGGGTGGTGTGCGGCCCGCCGCACGGCTCCCCAGTGCGGTCACCAGTACGCAGGACGTAGGCACAGGGACCAGCACCCCCAGACTGCTGACGTGCAGCGTACCACTCACGAAGCTGCTGGGGCGGCGGGGTCTCACGAGAGCGCTGCTGTTGCTGACGCTGGCCACCACCGAAGCCTCCCGACTGCTCAGAGCCACCTTGACCAGAGCCACCGCCACCGCCGCCACCACCGCCTCCTCCACACCCACCGCCACCACCGCCGCCGCCTCCGCCTCCAGCGCTGCCACTAGAGCCCCCACCTCCGCCACCACTCCCACCGCCACCCCCACCCCCTCCGCCGCCTCCACCGCCCCCGCCTGCTCCTCCAGCACCCTTGCCCCCCTTGCCCTTGCCGTTGCGGCGCCTCCTGCTAGGGGCAGATGCAGCGTCGAGAGACTCGGTGCCAACGAGATCGACAGCAGCAGCGGAGGCAACACACGGTAAAAGGGGAACGGGGGAGCACCCCTCAAAGAAAGGGGCACAAGGGTCACCACGAGTGGCTCCTACAGCAACTATGCTCTTCTTAGCTGCCAGGAGGCGCTCCTCGAGGAGGTCAACGGTGAGTGTGGTGGGGCAGAGAGAGAGGAAGTGATCCCTCACCGAGCGAAGGGAGTCACGGAGCCGGGTGACTAGGTAGTAGAGGGTGATGTACATAGGGGGGGTGGGGGTTCTTGGCACAGAACTCAGCAGGAAGCACAGCGCGGTAGCGGGTGTCACTAGTGCTGAGGTGCGTAATGAGGTCAGCGTCTGTAGCAAAGGCGGCGAGGTCACGGAACAGGTACGGCAGCATGAGGCCACTAAGGGCAGCAGTGGCAGGGGAGGAGTAACGTGCAACTACAGCGTCGTACAAGGTCTTAGCACTCTTGTACTGACTAAAGTGCGCGCTCAGTGGACGGCAGGTGACTACGCACAGCAAGACGCGCAGCAGCATTGCGTGTGGTCCACTCTGAGCGAACAACACTGTCAGCGTCGGCACCAGGGGCAGTAGAGGCGCCAGACGTGAGATCGAACAGTGAGAGACTGTCTTTGCTATCGCACTGTAAGAAAAGATGCACATCATCGATCCAGACCTCAAAGTCTACCGCACGACCTCAGCATCGAAGGTAATAACATTGAGACTAGTCATGACAGCAGCAGCAGCAGGCCAGCAGTAGCAGCAGCAGTAGGAGCGCGGCTCGGCTAGGCGGCGCGGTTCGGCAGGGCAACACGGCTCGGCTGTGCGCTTACCAAGGGCGGGTGGGTAGAAGGCCGCAAGCGGTGGGGCAGGGCCGAGGTGTGCCGGCAGGATCAGGGCTGCGACAAGGCGGCATGGCAGGGCCGCGGCTCGGCGGCAGGGCAGGGCCGTGGCTTGGCTGCAGGGCATGGCCGGGACGGCGGCGGCAGCTGCGGAGAACGGCGGCTGTCACGGCAGCGGCGGCGCCGGCTGTCACGGCAGCGGCGGTGGCGGCTATCACGGCAGCAGCGGCGGCGGCAGCTGTCACAGCAGCGGCAGCGGCGAACGGCAGCGGCGGCAGCGCCGCTATGAAGAGGCGGCAGCGCCGCGGAGGCCCGTGCCTGCCGGTGAGCTGGCCGCGCGAGGCCGCGACGACAGCAGGGCGGGTGGCAGCAGAGCCGCGACAAGCCGCGATCGGCAACTGGGCGAGGCCGCGACGAGCAGCCGGGCGGGGCCGCGAAGGGGCCGATGCGGGGTCACAAAGGGGTCGCTAAGGGGTCGCGAAGGGGCCGCGAAGGGGCCACTAAGGGGCCGCGACGCGGGGTCTCGAAGGGGCCGCTAAGGGGCTGTGAAGGGGCTGCTAAGGGGGCCGCGAAGGGGCCGCTAAGGGGCAGGGCAGGCCACTAAGGGGCCGCGAAATTTTAGGGCAGAGCGTGAAGCGCGCTTCGAGCAGGCTAAAAATAAATATTTTCGAAGGTGGGCCCTAGGAAGAAATGGTCCCACTAGGGAACCCACTCTATACCATGAGAAGAAAGAGGAATGGATGAACTAGGAAAATGTTGGATACAAATATGAAACCCTAGAAACCTGAACCCCTTAGTGTCTACCCCACTATAGCCTACAAAGGCTAAGTCATATATATCTGACAGTCTAGGGCGTTCATTTGCTTGCGGAGATGTCTAGCGACAGTAGCCATTTGCCACGACGAGAGGCGTTAAATCACATTTGTGGATTGCACTCGTGCCTACAAGAAAACATAAGGACTAGAGGGACAGTCTACGTACCGTATGAGGAAGCAAAAACGAATCGAGCGAATTGCTATGGTTTTGTTGCTGATTTCGCGAATAAAGATGCTTTAATATGGTACAACTATTTGGCGGTTGCGTAATGGTGTTAGTTCAAAAAAGAACATCTACAAACTATTTAGCCTGACGTGTACACAATGCAGATTTACCCTTCAGACCTGTATATAGCTGGTCTGTTTATACGCTTCAAATGGAAGGACTTCAAATGGAAAGGTTTTATGCCATAATCTCGTGTGCATAACATGATAACACCCTAGGGAAAAAAAAACTGGTCAGATTAGGTGGCTGCTATCACTACTGGTCAAAAATTTGGGCCCTGTCCACTCCACTTTCTGATGATTCATTGCACCCTGCCGCACATCCATGCATCTCCCAAGAAGCTACTAATATCCCTCTCAAGCTGACTGTCGCATACCTTGGTTGGCACCCCACTCAGCCTCCCTCTCTCCCATACACTAAACAAATCATACAACCCTAAACCCTAGACACCTACGGCTGCCCATGTGCCGAGGTCCCGGTCTTCCTCAAGCTCCTGGCAGACACAGCGGCTCGGCGCCACTTCAACGCCGACTCAAAATCCTTCTATGCCGCCAAGTTTCTGCATCAATTCAGACAGAGGTGGTCTGTGGCCCTCCAGAGGGCTCAGTCAGTGGGACTCTTGATCAAATTGGGGGAGGCTGCAGCAGCTGAGAACCCACCTGTTGGAGGCATAGGGCAGGAGATGCACCTTGGGGACTGCTTTGCGGTGGTCGAGCCTTTGCTAAAGCTCTAGAGTGTGTGACGGTGTGGTAGTTGTGTGACTGGTTGGCTTTGTTTGTTGGTTACCTAGGCCCTTATACCGTGCATGCTTGTACTTTCCTGCTATATCAATACAAGGACCATTAGAGAGAAAGAAAGAAAGAGAGAGAGAGAGAGAGAGAGAGAGAGAGAGAGAGAGAGAGAGAGAGAGAGAGAGAGAGAGAGAGAGAGAGAGAGAGAGACGTGGTATCCGGTTCGTGTGTAGGAGAAGGAGTGCGAAATGGGGTAGAGAGGTTGATAGGTACGATGCCAAATTTCTTCGCGGGTGTTTGGGCATATTTGGCGGCGGAGAGATGAATGTGTCAAACATATATGATCTAGCCTGTGTAGGCTATAGCGGGTTAGACAATAAGGGGTATACAATTATAGGTTTTCATATTTGTGTCACTTTCATTCCTTAGTCAATCCATTCTCGTTCTAAGTTTCTCATGATATCGAGCACGTTCCCTAGTGGGAACTTTCCTAGGGCCCACCAAGATCGAGTTTTTTTTTTCCTGCCCGGGGCGCGCGTTGCCCCCCTGCCCGAGGCGCACCTAGTGTTCTGCCCTTAGCGGCCCGTCGCGCCCTTCTTAGCGGCCCCGGCGCCCCCCCTCCTTAGCGGCCCCGTCGCGCCCTCCTTAGCGGCCCGTCGCGCCGCCCTTAGCAACCCCATCGCCACCCCTGCCGGCCTCGTTGCCGCCCTTGACGGCCCCGTCGCCACCCCTACCGACCTCATTGCCGCCCTTGACGGCCCCGTCGCCGCCCCTTCCGGCCCAGTCGCCATCCTTCCGCGGCCCCATCGCCGCCTCCCCCCCTTTCAGCGGCCCCGTCGCCGCCCTTTCAGCGGCCTCGTCGCCGCCCCTTCAGCGGCCCCGTCGCCGCCCTTTCAGCGGCCCCGTTGCCGCCCTTTCAGCGGCCCCGTTTGCCACCCTTTCAGCAGCCCCGTCGCCGCCTCTTAGCGGCCTCGTCGCCGCCCTTCAGTGGCCCCGTCGCCGCCCTTCAGCGACCCCGTCGCCGCCCCTTTCCGCGGCCCCGTCGCCGCCCTTTTAGCGGCCCCGTCGCCGCCCTTTCAGCGGCCCCATCGCCGCCTCTTAGCGGCTTCGTCGCCGCCCTTCAGCGGCCCCGTCGCCGCCCTTCAGCGGCCCCGTCACCGCCCCTTTCTGCGGCCCCGTCGCCGCCCCTTTTCCACGGCCCCGTCGCTGCCCCTACTCGGCCTCGTCGCCGCCCCTTTCGGCGGCCTTGACGCCGCCCTTCAGCGTCCCTGTCGCCGCTCCTTCGCGGCAGCGACGCCGCCCTTCACGCCCCCGCCGAGCCGCATTCGCTGCCAAGCCGCCGAGCCGCCGAGCCGCTGAGACGCCGAGTGGCGGAGCCACTGAGCCACCAAGCCGCTGAGCCGCCGAGCCAACGAGCCGGCGAGATGCCGAGCCGCCTTTGCCGCCGAGCCGCACTGCAGCCGAGACGCCGCCGCCTGCCAGCCTGCCCCGGACCGCCTCACTTGCCTGGTAAGAGCAGCGCCTCTGCCACTGCACTGCCCTACCCCAATGTGCTCACTCCCTTTCTACTGCTGTCATGGCCACGCTTAGTGTTCTCACCTTTGACGCTGAGGGTCGAGCTGTTGACTTTGAGGTCTGGGTAGATGATCTGCAGCTTTTCCTACAGTGTGATAGGGCAGACAGTCTCACCCTGTTTGACCTCACTTCTGGTGCCTCTCCTGCCCCTGCTGCTGATGCTAACCCCACTGTTCCCTCACTGTGGGCCACGCGCGATGCTGCTGGCCGCCTTGGTGTGCGCCGCCACTTACGGACCGCTGAGCGCACGCATTTTAGTCAGTACAAGAGTGCTAAGACCTTGTACCACGCTGTAGTTGCACGCTACTCTTCCCTTGCCACTGCTGCTTTTAGCTGCCTCATACTGCTGTACCTCTTCCCTGACCTCGCCGCTTTTCCCACAGTCGCTGACCTCGTTATGCACCTTCGCACTAGTGACATTCGCTACCGCGCAGCGCTTCCTGTTGAGTTCTGCGCCAAGAACCCCCCCCCCCCCCCCTTATGTACATCACCCTCTACTACATAGTCACCCGGCTCCCTGACACCCTTCGCTCGGTGAGGGACCACTTCCTCTCTGTTTGCCCCACCACTCTCACAGTTGACCTCCTCGAGGAGCGCCTCCTAGCAGAAGAGAAGAGAAAAGTCCCTGAAGGAGCCTCTCGTGGTGACCCTCATACCCCTGTCTTTGACGGGTGCTCCCCCTCCCCCCTCTTGCCCTCTGATGCCTCTGCTGCTGCGGCCGACCTTGTTGGTCTTGAGTTGGTCGGCGCGGCGTTTCCCCCTAGCGGGAGACGCCGCTCAGGCAAGGGCAAGGGGGGCAAGGGCGCTGGAGGAGGTGGCGGGGGCGGTGGAGGCGGCGGAGGGGGTGGGGGTGGCGGTGGGAGCGGTGGCGGGGGTGGGGGCGCTAGTGGCGGCAGTGGAGGCAGAGGAGGCGGCGGTGGTGGTGGTGCGTGCGGAGGTGGCGGAGGTGCAGGCGGTGGTGGAGGTAGCAGCGGCGGAGGCGGAGCTGGTCGGGGCGGCTCTACGCAGAGGGTCGGCTCTGGTGGTGGTCAGAGCCAGCAGTAGCAGCAGCAGCGCACTCGTGAGACCCCT